TCGCTGCGGTGTCTTCCTTTTCCTCTTTCTCTCTTCTCTCTGTCTCTCTCCCTCCCTCCCTCCCTCCTTTCTTTTTTATCTTTGCCTTTTTTTTTTTTTTCCTGCGGGGCTGGGGAGGTTCAAGACCGGGTTCCTCTGTGTAGCCCTGGCTGGCCTGTGCTGGGACTAAGGGCCCGCGGCGCCACCACTGGCCAGCTACTCTTGTGTGGTTCTAACAGTGCAAAACCACTTTCCTCTTTTTTATCTCTGAGACCAGGTCTCACGTAGCCCAGGACGTCCTCCAACTGCTGCGCAGGGAGATGACCTTGAATTTCTGACCTCTCGCCTCTTCCCCCCCCCCCCCTTACCTCCGCCCCAAGAGCTGGGGTGTGGAGGGATTTTAAACCAGCAATTTTGCTACTATAGCTGGAATTCCCCCAAGACTTTAGCACACACCTTTAATCCCAAACAATGAAGGAGACAGAAGCAGGAGGATCTCTGAGGCCAGCCGGGTCTACACAGCAAGTTCCAAGACAGCCAGGGCTACACAGAGAGACCCTGTCTTGAAACAACTACAACAGTAAGAAAAGAGCCTCAAAAACGGGGAGGGTAAAGTGACCCAGTGGTTAAAGGCACCTGTTGCCACACCAGATGACTCCCTCTGATTCCTGAGTGCTTGTGGTAAGCGTCAGGTCGCCTTCTGACTTCTACTGTGTGTGGTGTGTGCATGCACGCGAGAGCACACACACACACTAAATAAATTAGTAAATAAAATGTAAAAATGGAATTTTAAATCAGCGTCAAGAAAGGTTCAAGCTGTTGCTAACGACAGACATGTGCTTGAATTCAGCACCGACCAGATCACCTGTGTTACAGCCGTCTCTGTAATCCTCTGTGGCCCTCAGTAACATTTCACAAAGTGACCAACTCTATGGATCGCTTAGGGAAAGGCAGCGTGTTAAGCAATGCACACAGGATGGTTTTCCCTTTAAACGTGCGTTTGTGGTTCGCAGAAAGACGGGTTTCAGATGTGTGTGTCCATCTACCATCGGTAAGCAATGTTTAAAATATAACAAGTAGCGGGATTCGTGGTTTTCTCGGCATATATCTATATTAAAATGCTATATTTAGGAAGTGTCTGTTGAATAAGAAAACACTTTTAAAAGATCCATGTAATTTTTAAAGCTCGCCTATAACAAAGCATCATCAGCCTAGCCAAGACCCAGAGTCCTCCAAAGACTGCTGCTTCTTTGGGGACAGAACACTGTACGAGCCACCGTGAGCTAAGGGCACAGTTCAAAAGGGCTGAGGCAAAAGGAAGTTATAAAGGACAAAATTAGGAGGTTACATCGACATTCTGAAACAGCAGCCCTGGGCCACAGCGTTCCTAAGCAGGGTGGGGAGTGTTTCAAGTGTAGCTCTGAGGATGAAGTTTCTGGGCCTACGTCCTGGCACGAGGACGCTTTGAAAACTGTAAGTGCGTGTGTGCACCCGTGTGTGTGTGTGTGTGTGTGTGTGTGTGTGTGTGTGTGTGTGCGCGCATGTGCACCCCTGTATAGGTGCACCTGTGCATGGAGGCCAGAGGTGAGTCTTGGATGCTGTTCCCCAGGAGTCCATACTGGCTTTTTAATTTTGTTTTTGTTTTAGGAGAGTTTCTCTGTGTAGCCCTGGCTGTCCTGGACTTGCTTTGTAGAGCAGGCTGGCCATGAACTCACAGAGATCCTCCTGCCTCTGCATCCTGAGGGATGTGTCACCGCTGCCCAGCAGTTTCATCTTTTAGGATGGAGTCTCTCAGTGCCTGAGGCTCACTGGCTTGGCTGGGCTGTCTGTCAAGCCTCAGAGACCTCCGCAGCTTCAGGAAGTTCATTGTTTCATTTTAAAATATACGCAAACATTTAGCCAGGCAGTGGCAGCCCGAGCCGAGCCTTTAACCCCAGGAAGCAGATAAGCTAAGAAAGCCAGGGAAGCCAGTGTTTGGGGGCTATGGCTGAAGGTGGGCTTAGCAGAGCCTGTGGGCACAAGCGAACTCTGGCAAAGGCTCTCGGCCACTACACTGTGGTGCCGAGATGCCCGCCCGTGTGCTGTGGACAGGTCTCCTCCCTCCAGCTGAAGACTCCTTACTGAGCCGGCTGAGCTGCGGCCTCTGTCTGTCGACATCTGGGTTCCTGCTCTTTCAGAAACAGTTAACCAAGCTGGCAAGATGGCTCAGCATGTAAAGGTGTCCGCTGGACCAGCATGCCAACCCGAGTTCAATCCCTAGCACTTACCTAAACCAGAGAACTCCTGCCCAGTGTTCCTTGACCTTCACATGCATGTTGTGGCATATATGCATACACACATCACACACACATAATGCATACACAATAATAATAATTTCAAAATGGTTTCATTTTCTTCTGTCCGCTTTTTTTTTCTAATGTGTAGTTAGAAATTTTTAAAATTTACTTCATATGTACAGTTTAGCCTATGTGCTTGTCTGGCCTCCTGAGTGCTAGGAGAAGGTATGTGCTACCACACCTGTGTTTTTGGTTTTTTAGCCATGGTCTCACTATGTAGCTCTGGCTGGCCTGGAACTTGGTATGTAGACCAGGCTGGCCTTGGACTCAGAGATCCAAATACTGTGATTAAAGGCAAGCCCTACCTACCAAGCTAACCGTTAATTTCATTTATATGAGGAACCTATGGAGGTTTTCAGTTTGACCACAATAGTAGACTGTTGGTGGAAATGAACAGAGCTGTGAATCGGAAATAAAATGTCTCCCAGAGGGGTGGGGGAAATCCCAGGATCCTCAAAAATTATTTCCTTGATATTATTTCAAAATGCCCTTCAAATGGTTGGAATTTTAAACCCCTGAATTCATATGGTATTGGGCTTTGAGAGGGGAGAGACTGGGAAGGTGACTGGGGAGGGTTCTGTAGATGCATTCATGTATGAATGCCTACAATGTGATCAAAGTGTGATCTCTTCTGCCTTCAAACAGTCCCAGACCTTAGCACAACTGACTCCATGATGGAGGCACCAGACACGCCATAAACCTCATCGGGTAGACAGCACCACCTGCCAAAATGAAAACAAAGACCCAACCCATCGAAGCCCATTGTTCTCAGAAAGGCTCTCAGTATTCCACCCGTGTGTGTTTTTTAGCTTCTGGCTAACCGTCCTTGTTAACTGAAGTAGTCAACACAGGATACGTGTGTGTGTGTGTGTGTGTGTGTGTGTGTGTGTGTGTGTGTGCGCGCGTGTGCACTCGTGCTTGATAACTCACTCTGAGGAAGGCCCAGGGCTACATTGAGATCCTGAATATCCAGTATAGTTGCTGGCTGGCTAATAAAGATTATCTGTCAGCTTAAACTATGTCTGAGCAATCTTCTCTGGTGGATACCTCACAACAGCCTCTCCGTGTTATGTCCTGCTCTGTTAGGACTCACCAAGAAGGCTCCCTCTCAAGTTGTTAGCACCTTGACAGCCGACTTCCCAGCCCCCAGAACAATTTAGTCAGTGTTCTTTGTAAGTGCACGTCTGTGCCACTCGCTTGCAGCAACAGAAAACAGGCTTAACATACCCACCCACCTCCGACACCAGGAACAATCAGCCTATGACAGAGTGTGTCAGAGGTGTGCAGACCAGGCACCATTTCCATCAGATTACCCCCAGGCTAGCAGAAATAACCTTTCTGCTCACTCTTCCTGAGGAAACCCTCAACAGGTCCCAATTTTAAACTTCTGAAGCTGACCTTCCTGACCCCGCCTAACGTGCTTATTTTCCTGGAAACTCTCTTCCATCACGGAGTCCTTCCCTCCCCTCCGAACCCTTCTTTCCGCACATTCTTTTCCACACAGCCACATGAAAAACATTAGTTACCTGTGCTGACAACCTGCTTCTTCAAATGCTCTTCTTCCTTCTTTTCACCTTTACCTGACTTCGTTCCTCAGCACAGCGCTGTTCAGTGTTTAGTGTTCCATTCCTGGCTATCAGTTTCCCCAGGAAGTCCTACGCAGAATTAAGCACGAATCTAGTCTCCAGCTGAGTAAACAGCCCTGCCCTAAACTGACAGGACACCCCTTTGGCCATTTTGATCCCTGGCGAATGATAATCTGTTGGATTAAATGTTGGAACCGCTCGTGTTTGTGACTGGCTTGCAGTGCGTATGTTTTGTGGTCTACCTGGAAAGTGAAAGGAAAGGAAAACAAGCCTTCCAGACGATGCGAGAAAACCCACACGAACAAAACACACTGCAGACCAGCAGGACTACACAGTCCTCAGACAAAGCTAAGACGGCAGGGAGGAAGCGCCAAGCCTCCACATCTCCTTGCAGTGTGGACACGGAGCCCGCCCCGGAGGCCCGCGTCTGCCCTGGCGCACTCAGCTAGCCCCGGGTCCCGCCGCCCGGACTTCCGCCGCGGGATAGCCCCGCCCCTCCCCGTGGCAGCGTGCTTCCTTGGCCACGCCCTCAGAAGGGAGCCCTGTGATTGGTCCAGACTTCCGCCGCGGGATAGCCCCGCCCCTCCCCGGGGCAGCGTGCTTCCTTGGCTACGCCCCTCGAGAAGGAAGCCCTGTGATTGGCCCAGACCTGCTATAAAGTGCCCAATCGCGGCGAAGCAAGCCTCGGCGTCCGTTTGCGTGCGCGGCGAACATGGCTGATCGGCTCACGCAGCTGCAGGACGCTGTGAACTCGGTGAGGCTTTCCTTCTGTTCAGCTCCGTTCTTTCCTGACGAGAAGAGAGGGAGGAGGGTCGAGGCTCCGCCGCGCGGAGCGCGCAGTGAGGACGCCGCGGAGGCGCGCGCGGGAGGCCGCACGGAGCCCGCGGGCGGGGTCTGAGGAGACGGGCGGCCCGGCCTGGGGGAGCATCGAGGTGCTCCGGCCCGCGGGTGCTTCGGCACCCTTCCTTGTGGGGGCGGGGCAGGCCTAAGCGCTGTTGTGTGTAGTTTCAAGTTTAGCTTGTCAGGGGATCCCACCTTGATCTCCGAACTCACGAGGCTGAGGCAGGAGGAGTGCTGCGAGCTTCGGGCCAGCCTGAGCTCCAGCGTGACATCCTATCTCAGAAAACCAAACACCAGCGGCCACAGCAGCGTTCAGTGTTTGAGTGTTTGTTTGCACGTTGTGCAGGAGTGGGCAGGATGCTGTCTGGGCTGCCGATCCCTGCCGGAGTCCAGATGCTGGGTCTTGGCTTCTTCCCACTTGTTTACGTCTGCGTTAGGATCTTCCCTAGAGGCTCTTACAGGTGAAAACTGACGCTCTTGCACAGTGAGTGTGCACAGGGGTTGTTTATGTTTTGTTCTGAGATGGTCTCACGGTGTAGCCCTGGCTGACATGGAACTCACCGCGGAGACCGGTTGGGCAGTTAAGCAGCCAGGTTAAATTAAGCAGCTTGGGAGTCATCAAAGGTACAACAACAAAAGTCCCCGAAGACCGCTAGCTTGGAAACTGTGTCCCGTCTGCCTGTCATTCTTGCTCACGGCACACGAAGTACACGAAAGCTAAGACGTGCTGAGCCCAAGTGGTGGCGCACACCTTTAACCCCAGCGCTGCGAGGCAGAGGCAGGCGGAACTCCGAGTTTGAGGCCAGCCTCAAAATGAGTTCCGGGACAGCCGAGGCTGTGTAGAGAGAGACACTGACTCAAAGAAACAACTACCGCTGCCTGTCTCCATTAAGAGTGCAACAGTTTTCCATGGTAGTTAAGATGTCTTAGTGCCATGCTGGTTGTAGTTGGAGGTTCTAGGTAAAGTGGCTGCAGAGTGTATGCCGGAGGGGGATGGGGGCACTACACCGACCCAGATATAGTCCTCTGGTCGGTGTTTTTCTTACAGGAAGGCTATAACTTGGCTTCTTGGTAATACATTATTCTGAGATTGTGAATCTACTTGTCAGAAAACTGCCCTACTCTGTGTAAATAAAGTAGTTCTTAAGTTGAGGGCCAGCCCTTAAATGTTGATGAATTCACCAAGGTAAATTCTGCTTTGCAAAGATTCTCCGGGCTGCCTGGCAAACCAAGAAGTTACTCCTTTGAAGTTTTACAAATCTTAACATTGTGTAGGGCCTTATCTCAGAAAAATTTGTATTCATGTAGGTGGGTGTTGAGGATGGTCTTGACTTCTCTCAGGAGTGATAATTGAGCTATGCGGGTGCCTCCTGTGTCTGGAGGCAATGTGTTTACAAAGAGCTAGTCCTCCAGGGCCTTAGAAAGATGTCAGAAGCTCAAGAGACTCTCAGATGATGCAAACCCCACACATGGCTAGGGAGTGAGAGTGAGTGCTTTCAGCTCTACGTGCTAAAGGACACTGGGACATAGAACACTGTTAACATTTGTTCTCTCATCTGGAAGCACCCATGCCATGAGTACAGAAGCTCTGGCGTGTTCATCTCTAATGTTTATATACAGTGCTTGTCATGTACGAGTTTGGTTTTTCAATATTTTTTGAACAGGTAAGCAATGGGTCTTTCTCTTAATCCTTTTCTTTCTTATTTGTATGAATGTTTTTGCTTCATGTATGCCTGTGTACCATGTAGGTGTGGTTCCTGTAGAGGCCAGAAGAGTCTGTCAGGTCCTCTGAAATCAGAGTTACAGTTGTGAGCTGCCATGTATGTCTTGGGAATTGAACCCAGGTCCTCTGCAAAAGTAGCCAGTGATCTTAACCATTTAGCATTCGTTTTTCTGTTGCAACCTGTGCATCTGCTGGGATGGAGATGTGGCTTTGTTTGTGAGCAGACTTCTCTTGAGGGCTCAGTTTCCAGAAGCACTCAGAGAAACAAATCACTATGGCTGAATCTTCAGCATTCTCTGCCCTCCTCTTCTTTTTCCTTTTTCTTTCTTCTTCCTTCTCCTTTATTTCTTTCCTCCTCTTCCTCCTTCTTCCTCCTTTTCCTTCCTTTCTTCTCCTCCCCCCTCAAGACAGGATTCTCTGTGTAGCCCTGGCTATCCTGGAGCTCACTCTGTAGACCAGGTTAGCAGTCTCAAACTCAGAGATCTGCCTGCCTCTGCCTCTTGAGTGCTGGGATTGAAGGCAAGTGACACTACCACCTGGTTTTTATGGATCAATTCTTTAGGCTGGATTGATACCAAATTTAATTTTACCTATACTGATAACAGAATGAAGTTTCTTTGTATGATTAAACCATTTAATCCAAACTAGGTGTAAATAGATGCTGGAATGTGCAGCAAGTCTGTCATTGTTAGTAATAACAGGCTCATTTCCTATAAAAATATTCCTTTGTCTGAGGAGTTTGCTTAGAGACCATTATTAGGAAGAAATTGTTGCTATTTCTCATAAAGTCCTTAAACTTGATAACTTTGTAACCTTGACATCCTTTTCTTTTTGCTCAAGCTTGCAGACCAGTTTTGTAATGCCATTGGAGTATTGCAGCAGTGCGGCCCTCCTGCCTCTTTTAGTAACATTCAAACAGCAATCAATAAAGACCAGCCAGCCAATCCTACCGAAGGTGAGGTTCGCTTAGTTTGACTGACGTTTCTTCTACAAGTTATAGCTTCTTTGTAAAAGAAAAAAAAAAATGTGTCTGTAGTTGGAGTATATTACTGTAAATTTTGACAAATGTTTTTTTTGAACACTTAGTTATTTGGTGTATATGTGGGTGTGCTTGCTATAGCATGCAAGGATCTGGAGCTGTTCTCTCCTATTTTGTGGGTTCTGGGGCTCAAACTCGGGTCATTAGACTTGGTGGCAAGTGCCCTTTATCTGTAAAACCATTTCATTGGCCTAGGAATGAATATATCAGCTCAATTCATATGCCTCATGATTCTGTTCATGTCCAATAGAGATTGTTACTCCCTTAAAGGAAAGCTTGTATGAGTTGAGTGGAATTTTGCTTGTATGACCTTAATAAGAAGAGCATCTCAGACAGGCAGTGTTGCACACCTTTAATCCCAGCACTTGGGAGGCAGAGGCAGGTGAATCTCTGTGAGTTCAAGGCCAGCCTGGTCTACATAGCAAGTTCCAGGACAGCCAGGGCTACACAGAGAAACCCTGTCTCAAAGAACAAAAAAAAAAAAAAAAAAAAAAAAAGGATCTCATTTATGGATTCCTTTGCTCAAGGTACTAAAATGTTTTCCTAATAAAATTACATAGTATACTAATTCCCAACTTGAATTAATATTAAATGTATAAATAGTATTGATATGCTAAAACTATGCTTTCACTATTAGAATTATTGTATACAGAAGTTAGCTTAATTTTTCTAGTTTTACTAATTTTGTAATTTCTGCTTATGAAAATGTAAGATTCTGATAATTTAATGCTTTTCTTCAGAGTACGCCCAGCTTTTTGCAGCACTGATTGCACGAACAGCGAAAGATATTGATGTTTTGATAGATTCTTTACCCAGTGAAGAATCTACAGCTGCTTTACAGGTAAAACTTTTTTCTTTTGATGAAACTACTAGTAGTAGAGACCTTTGAATTAAAGGAGGTTATGATCAATTTAATATTAAATTTAAATGGGAGATATTTGGGCATTTGTTTGGTTTTGTGCGGTTATTTTGTGGTCAAATCTGGGGTCTTACATACTAGACAAACTCTGCCTCTGAGTTGTAACCCAGCCCTACTTGGGAGTTTTGTTAAGTGTGACTAGCACAGCCTCTAGGAGATTGTGCTGAATGCTTGTCCAATTTTGACCTAAAAGGTAAGATAAGTGTGTTCAAGGTGGTATCAGCAGTGAGCAGCTTCATCTTTGGCAGAAGCCTCCTTCCTAACGCTCCTCGCTTTGTTTAACTAGCAGAGAGTGAGTGGAGAATGATCTGAATGTGGAACAAATGTCTGCCAGCAGTGTGCAAGCAGGGCACATATATACATGCATATATTCTGATTGAAGATTAGTCTTTAACATACCTGCTACTCAAGATAAAATACAGTGGTTGGAAAGCCATTCTGATTTTTAAATAAATGCTTGTACTTTAGTTTCTGTTGGTTTTGCCTCTGAATATATTAAATTTTGTGTTTTATAAAGGCTGCTAGTTTATATAAGCTAGAAGAAGAGAACCACGAAGCTGCCACATGCCTGGAGGATGTTGTCTACCGGGGAGACATGCTGCTGGAAAAGATCCAGAGTGCACTTGCTGACATTGCCCAGTCACAGCTGAAGACCAGAAGTGTCACCCACAGCCAGTCTCTTCCGGATTCCTAGCGTCGACGGACAGCATGTGGCTGAGAAAAGAGCCGTGTGAATGCACTAAGGATTCAGCGTCAGATGCGGATGTGAGCCAGCAGCTGCAGAGCAGCATATCTTGACTGTCACCTTTGTGGCTAGTTTAGTTCTCTGTTTTCACTCTTGATCAGGAAAGAGCTGTAAATTGCAGTTGGATCGTCTTCAGCATCATTATGCCATCGTTTCTTATCTGACTAGAATTTTCAGGGTAGATACTAATGGCCCTGATACCATTAAACAGTGACGCACAGTACAGCTCTTTGTTTTGTTTTGTGGGTCTTGTTTGGTTTTCTTTTTTGGTGCATCTTGTGTATGCTAGGTAAGCACTTTGCCACCGGCCTTACATCCCCAGTTCTGACCTCTGCTGTGTCATTGCAGCCCTTCCACAGATCGAAATAACTGACCTTAAAGGCAGAGATAAGGGACTTTTCCATTTAGATATGTGTCCTGCCTCTTTAAAGGTGCCACTGCATAAATTTTATGTTGAGCAAAAGTTTCTGAATTAGAGCATATAGGAGGTAGACATCTGTTCATCTGTGAAAAGCTTTCTTCTAGAATATCACACTTTCTAGCTTGTCCCTACCTTTGTTTTGACAAAGAAGTCTTTACTGTCCAGGGAATTCCAATGATACTGTGAGAATATCTCACCCTGAAACATGTTGAGATAATTTTAACCTACTTTCCCCATATTCTTAATTTACATGTCTTCATAGTGAGTTATGTTTCTTGAATTGTTGATTCTTTCACATTCTCTGTACCTGAAAGTACTGATATTTAAAAAAGTTTTTATTAGGTTTATTGATTGTATGTGTTCTGCTTGCATGTGTTTGTACCGTGTACATGCTGGGGCCCATGGAGGCCAGGAGAACATCAGCTCTCCCGGAGCTGGGGTTGCAGGTGTTTGTGCACCAAGGTGTGGGCACAGCGCCCTGCAGCCTGCGCCCTACGGCAGCAACACGCGCTTACTCTTGCCCTCTTTCTGACCCTCTTAACAAGTAAACCTGTTCTATTTTAATCAGTACTTGTACCATACATCAGTATGTTTCTATGTACACACACAGGCTATAGGTCAGTATATACGTCAGTAACTCAGTAATGTTTCTTCCAATTATTGCTGGCAATTGTATCAGCCCTTGCAACTGGGATTACTCATCCAATTTCTGGCCTCACTGTTGTTTTCTAGACTCATAGGTTTCTGAAAAACCCTCAAGAAAAATATCCAGTGTTCTGATTTCCTTCAGAATCAGGCTCTCTATAGTTCTTGAAAATACTGTGTTTCAAAGTTCAGGAGGACCTGCCCTAGCTACAAAAGTTGTAACAATTTTTTGGTTAAGCGTAAACCTTTTTTTTTTTTTTTTTTTTTTTTGTTGTTGTTGTTGTTGTTGTTGTTATAGCACTTTGTGACAGTCATTTATTATTAAATCTTATAAACTTGTCGTTAGAATGTTGTCCTTGTTTATGGGGGTTTGGTCATAGTCTCCCATTGCTCTACCTCCCCCACCACTCAGTTTCACAGTGAACAACAGCCATTAGGGCCTTTTAAAGACGATAATGTGCTTTTCAGTAATAGTGTTTGCCTTCATGTATCTACATGCCACGTGTGAGCCTGGTACCCCTGGAGACCAGTTCCATCAGATCTGTAACTGGAGTTACAGATAGTTGGGAGCCACCATTTAAGTACTGGAAACTGAACCCAGGTCCTCTGCAAGAGCGGCCAGTGCTCCCAAGAGTCTCCTCTGGATTCCTTTATAGGATATAGGGGTAAGTTGGGCGTAACTCGTGTTATTTCCTGGAGTCTCAGTGTGCCGTTCACATATATGAAGATTATTCTGGCATTTTGCTTTCATTATCAGCCTTCTGAGTAGACCCTTTCTGACAAGGCAAGTAACTGTGTGAGAGGTGAACTTTTACCTTGAGCTGTCATTTACCACAGCAGTGGGAACATTAAGACCTTTCATTTACTGGTATCAGAACAAATCCAGATTTCTGGCCTGTGTCCATCCTACCGTTTTTTTTGTTTTGTTTGTTTGTCAAGACAGGGCTTCTTTGTGCACCCTTGGTTGTCCTGGACTCACTTTGTAGACCAGGCTGGCCTTAAACTCACAGTGATCCACGTGCCTCTGCCTCCCTGAGTGCTGGGATTAAAGGCCTGTGCCACCATGCCCTGCTCTTCCTACCATTTTTAATTGTACCAAAATTACTAGTAAGGTAGGTTCAAGGAATATGGTCATGAAACTGAGACCTACAGATAGTACAGGAATGAGTGATTTGATCAGGGGATTGGCACACACACAAAACTCAAGAAGAGCTGGAAAAAGTAAAGGCCCGAAAGGAAGAGGACAAAATGTCATTCAAAATAATGTCATGCACAGGCATGTAAAAGGTTGTGACAGTGAGAACTGATAAAACGTGGCACCGAACAGAACACAGGGACTTGCTGCCTGTGTAGAAACTGCTACCTTACCATTGGCATGGAGCCAGGGCCCTAGTGCTGTCTGTTCACTGGATGCCTTCTGGATCAACAGTTGAAACCATAGCACCTTGCAGCACTAGCCACTGCTTCGTAGAATTCCTTTCATCAAGCAACTCTAACCTTGATAGCATTAAATATATGTGATACTGTGCCAGGCTTGGTGACACACACCTTTTAACCCCAGCACTTGGAAGGCAGAAGCAGGTGGATCTCTTGAGCAAACAGCAAGTTCAGGACAGCCAAGGCTACATACAGAAACCCTGCCTCAAAACAAAAACAAGCATATGTTTGTGTGTGTGTGTGTGTGTGTGTGTGTGTGTGTGTGTAATATGTTTGTATATATGTAATAATGGGAAAACTTGCATGTCAGCATGGACACTATGAAATTAGAGATTTTTATTTATGTTTTGGTGGTGGTGGTGGTGGTGTGTATAAAAATTGAATCCAGAGCCTTGTTCTTCCTTGATAAAGACTCCACCTCTGCCCTATATCCCCAGTCCTCTTTTTACTGTTTAGTTTGAGATCATGTCTCTCTAAGTTGCCCTGATCTCACTTAGCCCAAGCAGACCTTGGATTTGCCATTTCTGTATCTCTTGAGTAGCCGGGAGCCAGGTCTATACTTGCCAGGCCAGCTGGAGCTACTGGTCCCTTATGCTAGGTTTTTGTTTGGGGTTGTTTTGTTTGTTTGTTTTTTGTTTTGTTTCGTTTTTCTTTGAGACAGGGTCTCTCTACATAGCCCTGGCTGTCTGTCCTGAAGCTCACTATGTAGATGCAGAACTGAACCCACGTCCTCTGCAAGAGCAGTCATTGCTCCCTACCACTAAGCCATCTCTCCAGAGAGCATCCTCTGGACCTTCCAGAGAATATTGGAATATCTACCTACCTACCTACCACCTCCCTGTCTGTCTGTCTGTCTATCTACCTACCTACCTACCTAGTTTTTAACTAGTTATTAACTAGTTATATTACTATTACCTAGTTATTAAATAGTTATTCCTATTGTTTAAGACTCTCTGCGAGCATAGAGAAGAACACTTTGGCTCATTCAAGGCCCTGAGCGTTGCATTGAAAAGCAATGTCCCAATCTCACCTTTGAATAAATCAAAGCGTCAAGGAAGCATTAGCAGATTAAACCATGACTTTCACTAAATGGGGGCTGGAGATGGCTCAGTAGTGAGTAGCCCTTGGTGATAAGTCATGGGAGCCAAAGCTCGGACTCAAGCACCTGTGCAACAGGCGGGCCCCGCAAACGGCCACCCCAGCTCTGAGGGCTGGATGCCCTCTGGCCTGTACATGCACATACTCATATAGGCAGAGGGGTCACATTAAAACTCCTTTCAGACAGGGTCTCACTGGCCGGTCTCGAACAGTGCGTAGACCAGGCTAGCTCAGAGGTCTACCTGGCTCTGCCTCCTAACTGCTGGGGTTAAAGTCATCTGCCACCATGCCTAGGTATAATAATTTGGGGTGTCCTCTGCTTCCTGGCTAGATGGAATGTGACCTGTTGCCTCAAGCTCTTGCCCCCATTACGCCTCTGTTATGACAGTCTGTGAGCCAGACAAACACTTCCTTAAATTTTTGTTTGATTGATTTTGAGACAGCATCTTATTCTATGGCCAGGCTGGACTGGAATTCTTTGGGTAGCAGTCAAGCTCATAGCAATCCCCCTGCCTTAGCTTCCCAAGTGCTGGAATTACAGAGGTGAGCCTCACTCCCAAATTCTGCTCTTTGTTTGTTTGAGACAGGCTCTTTGTTGTACAGGTTGTCCTTGAACGCACTATGCAGCCCAGAGCGGCCTCACACCCTTGATCTTCCGTCTCTGTAGCGTGCTGGCAATAGGCCTGCACCACCGCAGCCAGCTATCAGCACAGCAATACGTAACAAAGCAGACGGTACAGCGGTGGGTGGCGTCAGCCTCTCCGAGGCCAGCCGCAGTGAGACCCTGTCTCACCAGGAGAATATGAAGATGCAAAGCAACCTTCCTGATAAAGATTCAAATAGGGAAAAGGAGTGGTCAAGCCTGCACGCCTTGGAAACTCCAAGCCTCTCCTGGTGGAGCTGTTCTGATACCGGGTCAGGAGACGCTGCTCCTTACAAAGGCAGGTCCAGGGGACCCAGGGGTGCGCCCGTTGACTCTGCTCTGAAAGCGGGGTGCACTAGGGGCTGTTGAAGCTGTTGAAGCGGGCAATCAACAGCTGTTTGGGAGGACAGCAGAGGGCCAGGGTCCTGCACCCTGGCACTTCCCTCCTCTTTCACCCATTCCAAAACAGGGCTCTGCTGTAAAGGACCACAAGCTCTGAAGCTCTCCTGGACCCCTGTGGACCTGTGTCCAGCTAAGACAACACTTGAGGCCAAAATGGAAGATTTGTTCTCCTGTTTGCACTAGGAAAGAGGCTTAAACACGAGCCTCCCACCGAGTTGAAGGGAAGGGGGAAACAATAAAAGCGACAGCAGAGACTGGGAGGCAGAAGCAGAGGGATCTCTGTGAGGAGGCTGGCCTGGTTTATATGGCCAATTCCAGGCCAGACAGGGATACATACTGAGACTGTATCTTGAGATAAATAAATAAGAAAATCAATATCTAAAAAATTTGGTCTTTGAATTCCAGTTTTGGACAAAATATAGGAAAAGCCAATTGCCAAGATTTGATAATGGTAGTCCAAAAATAAAAACTACAGCCTATTTTACTAATAAACTTGAAAAATATCAGCAAATCAAATGTGCTGACAATTAAACAATTGAATGCATCATTCTGAATCTGTTTTATCTAAGAAATGGTAATTTGTAATTTTACTTTTAGAAAATAAGTAACTTCATATTTTTCCCAATTTATTTATTTATTTTTAAAAATATTTTATGTATGAGTGTTCTATCTGCATGTACATCTGCACACCTAAAGAGGGCATCAGATTTCAGTATAGATGGTTGTGGGCCACCATGTGGTTGCTGGGAATTGTACTCAGGACCTGTTGGAGGAGCAGTCTGTGCTCTTATCTGCTGAGCCATCTCTCCAGCCCTATTTTTCCCAGTTTAGATGTTTATTTTTTTTAACTAACTTTCAGTGATCACTTTGAAATGCAATAATGCATTTTACAGTTAATGCAATCTTTGCTCTAGTTAAATATGATAATGTAACTTAACACACTACAATTAAAATGAGAATCACACAACAACCCATCTTGACACAGGACAAGCATCTTTTAAAAATCTATAAATGAAAAAAAAAAAACAAGTTGGGAAAGGAAAAACAGAAGGTATTTTCACATATAATGTATAGGACTCGAGGGACGGCTCAGTGATTAAGAGCACTGGTTGCTCTTCCCGAGGTCCTGAGTTCAACTCTCAGCAACCACATGGTGGCCCACAACCATCTGTAACTGTAGTCCCACGAGATCCAATGCCCTCTTCTGGTGTACAGACATACATGCAGACAGAACATTCATATACATAGATTATCTAAATAAGTGAATTTTAAAAATACTTAACCGTGGTCTGTGTTAACCATAGTACACGCCACACTGCAAGACCAGACGCATTCCCCAGGGACCTGGATCCAGGCGAGTCAGCCACATCTGTCTCTCTTGTGCCTGTGCCTGCCACCAAGACTTTGAAACACAAAACAAGATAAGATTCCAATATTTTTTAAAGTGAAGCAAAACTTATTTAAAGCTAACAGAAGGAGCCTGGTGTGGAGTGTGCCTGGGAGGCTGAGGCAGGAGGATTTCAAATGGAGGCAAACTTGAGTTACATAGAAAATGCTGGGCAACCAGGGCTGGATAGCGAGATTTTTAACTCAGAAAACAAACAAAACATTAAATAAGTCTAGAATATTTATATAGAGAAAATGAAGGACAGTCCAGGGGTAAGACTGACATACATAAGTGTAACAGACTAGCCACATCTGGTAGAAAAATCTTCAGTAGCCTTAACAACAAGAATTCAAGGACTAGCCAGGCTGCACGC